GTTAAGGGGGGGAGAAAAGGGTTCAGTTTAAGTGATAGAATAAATATGTTTTGAATTGCTCTGAGAGCTGCAGAAGTGTCTGGAGAATGGATGATCCTGTAAATCCTAGTGCATCCAGTCCTGCAGTGTTGCACGGGCACAATACAAGTCCATGAAATAAGGCAGATCATGGATAAAACAGATGTATAACAGTTCTAGGGAAAAAAAAAAAAAGAGTAAATTAGAAATATGTTTTCTGACTTGTAAACACATGGATAACAGTAACAGTGCCACTTCCAAAAATAAAGGTTAAAATCAACTCCTTAGGTGCAAAGAAAGAAAAGCAAACATTTTTTGCATGCATTTCTGGATCCTGTGGATTTCTCCCATAACAGTTCCCTTGGAATTACTTCTTTCTTGATAGGAGGAACTAATTTTTATGTATAGGAGCAGTGCCTGAAGAAATCATTAGGGCAATGAATATTTCAGAAAGAGCATGGGGAGCACTTCGGGGAGAAAGGCATATCAGCAGGAAACCTGTTCTGAGGAAGTTTATGGCATTTTAAATCATTTCCTGGCCTCTTTTTTGCATGTTAGAAGATCATTATATTGGCAACATATTCATCACAATTTTGAAAGCTGGGTTTTTCTCTGCTACAAGGGGAGAGGGTCAACAATAGCTGTGTAAGAAATGTATTATATTTGTTAACTTTTTTGTTGCAGTAGTGCTTGGATTCTGATTTTATTATTTGTTGGCTCTTTTTTTTAATAGGAGTTATGAATGACCAAGGATCATAAAAAGCTAGATCATGTCAATCACAGATATGTGGGGTGAGAATATGATACTGAGAACAGCAAGAGGTAGAAATTTGTCTCTTGCTGCTGATCCTGTACGTGATCCCTTTGTTTTTGGGAAAAAAACACACCAGCTCCTCCTCTGCCTGAGTTCCCATAGAAGTGAAATGAGCTGCTGTCACCAGAACAAATGTTTGTGTTGTCTCTGTGCAAGGTAGGGGCTCACAGTTCCTGCTGCTCATTCCTTTTGTCCTTGGGAGCAAGCTCAGTTTGTGAAGGCAACCATGGGATATTATTTTTTCCTTCTGCAGGCCACCACACCCCAATGACAAGAAGAAGTTGTGGCCACAGTGTCCTTTGGAGGCCTTCCCCACCCAGCCTAACACCCAGGCCCATGTAAGCACATTCACCTGCAGCTTCAGGAACTTGTGCTTCTGCCTCCTCCACACTTTTAAGGCTTTTAAGAAGGTTAAAGAAAGGAGAAAATAACTAAACTTATTGTAAACTTATTGGAATATCTTGGAGGCTTCTGTGTGGAGAATCCGTTGCGGCTCATGTCTTGTAAAAAGTCATCCCTGGATTTAGCCATTTGGGGAAGAATTGGTGAACCTTCCTCATGCTCAAATGTCTTCACAAGGAGTGATTTGATCTTGTTTGGCTGCCTGGCACACATCCAACTTCTCTCTCACTGTCCCTGCTCAGAAAAATAGGGGGAGAAAATAGAGAGAAAAGCTCATGCACTTATGTAAAGTGGAGATCTCTTGCTAATTACTGATACAGGCAGAACAGTTGTGCCTTACTTAATTAATGAGGAGATTAGTTAATTGTAAAAATTTATTTATTTCTAATTAAATTAGAATTGAATAGTGAGAAACAAACACAAAAACTAAAGCAACTTTTCTTCACCCCATCCCTTTCTCCCAGGCTCAACCTCACTCCTTCATTCCCCACTCTATCTCTTCCCCCTTCCCAGCATTGTAGGAGGTTGGAGGGTTGTGATCAATCCATAACAGCTCCTTTCTGCTTTTTCTTTTAACATCACCTATCCCTTCCCATGGGCTGCAGTCTTTAAGGATAAACCTGCTCCAGTGTGAGCTCTTCATGGGCAACAGTTTCTTTGGGAAACATCCATCAATCTGGCATGTGGCTGCAGGGTGAATATCTATCTATTCCAGTATGATTTCTCCAAGGGCTGCAAAGGAAGCCCTGCTAAAGCATCTGAAGCACTTCCTACACCTCTTTTCACATAATTTTTGTTCCCTTTGTCTACTGTGTTCCACCTTTCCTTAACCAAGTTTTCCTTGAGACACCACCAGCTTTCCTGCATCCTGTGGTAAGTCAATTTTGGAGCCACACAGGGCAGTCTCTGACCTCTTCTGCACCTGAGGGTTGATGTCTTTTACAAAACTGAACCTTGGCTGGATGGGATGGAGTTAATTTTCTCCATAGCAGCCACTGTGGTATTTTACTTCCAAAACTGTCTTTATCTCAACCTATGGGTTTTTGTTCTTTGATTCTCTCCCCCATCCCACTGGAGGTGTGAGAACAAGTGAGTGAGTGGTTGCAGGCTTAGCTGCTGGCCAGGATCAATGCAGCACAAAGTCAGGATTTTGCCCAACAGGTAGCCTCAGGAAGACAGCAGCTCCCAGCTTCTGCTGAGCTGTAAAACTCTGCTTCATGTATAGATGATATACTTGTCACAGCTCAAGGCAACCTGTGTCACAGATCAGAAGCTCCACAGCAGAAGGAACCTCTCATTACAGAGGAAGGGGACAAGAACTGTCTTGAGATGAAACCGCACTAAAAATGTTTTAAAACAAATTTTAAAAATGAATAGGAATAAATTGCCAGGGCCAGATGTCATTCACCCATGAATATGAAGTTGGTGAACTGCTAACTGTGGTTTGCAATATATTCATTGTATCATCCTTAGTACCTAAGGAAAGAAAGTGCTAAGTATGACAGAAACTTCTAAGAAGAACGCCAGAGCTATCCTAGTTAATATAAACAAGTAAATCAAATTTCCATGAGAATAAAATTGTTAGGAGCCGTAAATTAAAGAAAATTAATGAGTGGGTCCATGAATAAATATGATGCAGCAAACGAAAGTCAATAGGTTTTTTTGTAAGGGGAAATGATTTCTCCCGCTATGTGACAGACACAGGTGATACAGTCAGTGTCATTTACCTAGTTATGTAAATTAGCCCTGAAACACAGGGCTTCCTGAAAAACAGGAAATTATCATTAGGAGGTGTCTTTGTTGGATGATAAATCATTAGGAGGCTAGGCTTTATAATGGAAATTCATTATCGATGAGGCTCCAGGTCCTCTGTTTGGGATTTAGAGTGCTTAATATGCAGGCATATTTTCACCTTGGAGAAAGGGATGAATTGGAAAATTAAATATGGTGATGCCAAGCAGGCTGCAAAGATGTGTGCTGAGCAATTAGATAACACGGGGCCAGGCAGTAGATAGTCCCAGTTTTGTGTATGTCTTTTTAAATAGATGCATAAGTATATGCATTTGCAGCCCTGATGAACTGTAAATAAACTGTCACCATGAGTGACCTGTGCTGCTGTGAAGCTCTCAGTTCTCTGAGGAGTCAAAAATCCTCAATTTACACCAATCTGGGTGTTTCTAGTGCAACAAGAGTTTGAATGCTGTGATATTGCACTTACCCCACCTCCGAAAAGGAGTGTTACAGCTCAAAACAGCATGTGGAGAACAGGAAGGCAGACCTGGCTTCATATGACAAAAGAATAAAAATACCAGGATTATTTAGCATGGAAAACAAGTGGCTGCATTAGAGGTACGGCATAAAAATTAATTAATGAGGGGAAAGGGTTTAGGTATCAATATCTAATTGTTATACAGGAAGAAGGGAACATCTCTTGAAATTATTGGAAAATAAGATTAAAGCAAGTAGATATTTTTTTTTTTTTTTACTAAGCATAAATTGTGGTGAACATTGTCATTTATCAGACATTTCCATGGGCTTTTGCATACAAATGAGTTCAAAAAGGACAAGGACACTGACAAGTGTTAAACTTTGGAGATCTGCATTTATGTGTTATCTTAGTAAATTTGTATGTTTTAGTTTGCCAAATCTGACTAAATGATTCAGCACAAAGATCATAAGGGTAAATTTAATGCTATTTTTCCTAAACATTTCTTCCTAGTCTATAATTTTACAGCCCCTAGCATAATGAAGAAATGTAGCCTTCTCACTTTAATTAGTTCTTTTCATTTTACTTCTATTTCTATTATTTTAATGCAAACACACATTGGAAATGTGTGTTTGCATTAAAACACGTGAAAATTCATGACCAACTTAGTGGAGAGTCATAGATGAAGAGAAGCAAATTCCCAGATTAACTAAAAGATCACTTTCCAAGGAAACAATACTTCACTTTGAAAACAGGAAAAAAAAATCAGTAATGCAAAAAACTTGGTATTTACTGAATGTTAGATCAGCAAGTATTTGTTAATCAGCACCAGGAGAGGTGTTCACAGAGGCTTAATTTGTCCTATTTATATGTGTTTCCAGATTACTGGTTGGGAAGACTGGGATATGGGAAAGAATATTTTGCAATTTCCTTAAACAGTAACAATCTCTATGAGAAAAGGAAAGTTTGCCTTGAAACATTCTGCTGCAGTGTGCATGTAATCCTAATGATACCTAATATTAATAATATATATGTGCCATATATTATTTTGCTTTAGCATATATACATATTTAAAAAAAGACATTTTGCTTTACCTAGTGGCACCTGTATGTATTTATCTTGGAAGCAAAAGTGGGAAGAGAAAGGATGAATGTTTCCAAGCTAATATAGAGAAGGACAAGATTTCTCACCTTCAGGAAGGGATAAAGGCCGAAGCTTGCTAAAGATTTAACCTAAAGGGGAGTGCCCTCGGCTGTAATTAGTCATCTGTCTGCTTTGCTGTGGTGCAAGGTACCTACAACAAACCATGTGGAGGAGCTGGTAGCTTATCATGCTTCAAGGAAAAAAAGTGCCAAAAAATTACTTTTGATAACCCAGCTTAAAGAATTAATAGTCAAGATTCTTAAATGATGAAACACACTTTTTATGAATTTTCTATAAATGTTTGTTTATGGTGGTATGTCTCATGATTTTCACTGGGGAAAAATGTTATGGTTTGAATATCTGAAAATTACAAGTGTACTGAAAAATATCATCTGTAAAATTTTTGTGTTATCTTAGAATCACATCTCAACCTTTAAAGGACAAGTGTCGCTGCCTTCTGAAATGTACTCTCAGCCTTGCTCTTCAAAGTTCAGATCAAGTGATGCTGCCAAGATTTATGCATCTGTGGCAAATAATTCACAGATGCCAACTCATTGAAGAATCCAAGAGCTTTGTCCTATGCCAGGGTAACTTCAGCAGTATTTTCCAGAGCTGTGGATTAAGTTTGCTGAAGCAAAAAAATGACGACGTGTCTGATCTATTTCAACAGCGCTGCCATACGTAAAGATGATTCATCAGTGTTCCCTCTCTAATGGTAACTATCTCCAGTGGGCAGTAAAGAATGACCAAACTGGCTATCAGATGGCAAGGAGCAGAAGTTGGAACAGCATTTGCCTTGCTCACTTTGTACTTGATTGTGTATCCAGGCGTTCCCATCTAGACTTGCAGGGGTTGCTCGAGCATTTAATTACTTGAATCCCAATGAGCTGAAACTGCTTGGTTCAGGAGATAGCATAATAAAGGCATTCTCCTGAGGTGGCTAGATCATTTTTTTAAGCTTTACTGACAAGCTAGAAATAGTCACAGATTTTAAATGTTGCCAATGATTATATTCAAAAAGCATGGAAAATATGAGCCTACATTTTCTGCTATGCCCATGTTCCTTCAGGAGCAGCAAAAGAAGGGAATGTGGGCTTCATGTGGAACTACCTAATTCTCTGTCTGACTACACACCAGCTTTGGCCACTGTTATGAATTACACCATATAATGGTGCCAAAAGGGGACAGTCTGGTGCTAAACCCTCTCACTCCTGCATCACTGTGTAACCACATCAAGGAACGGGAGAACTGACTTCATGTTAGCTCAAGTTTTTCAGTGCTCAAGTTTTTCAGTGCTCAGACTAGAGGTGTCTTGCCAATATCAAGGTGGCAAGATGGATCAGACTAACTAAGAGACTCAGGGAAGAGGGAAGCGTAAAATGTTGCAAACTTGGATTCTGCATTTTACATTTATTTGAAGAAATATGTATGTCTTTCAGGATTGTGTATGAATGGTGTTACTGGAGTATCTGGTATCCAGCTAAGCATGCAGCTACCTTGTGTCAGTAATTATAAATGAGACAATTGTCTCAAATTTCTACTCACAATCATTGTATTGGGTTTTTCTGTTCATTTTTTTGTTAGTCTTTTTTTTTTCTAGTAGCTTTTCCCATAGAGTTTGCATGAGAGAGTGAAGGTTTCCTATGAGTAGTAGAAAAAGTGCATGGACTTGGGATACAATTCCAACTGGAGAAAAACATTACCAAAGAAATCCAGATACTTAGTGACTCATGTAAAATATAACTTGACATTTGAGCATGCAAGATGATTTGTGGTATGTGGTTTATACAACTCCCAAATTTTTATATCTCTTTATGGGGAACACTGCCAAATCTGGAATAGAATATATGATTTATTTTTATTTCAGGGTAGAAATTGTCTTTTTGATTTTCAGTCTGCAAAAGATGAGCACTTGCCAGTGCACATTTATACACAGCCAAAAAAAAAAGAGAGCATGCTTGAGCCAAGCAGGAACAGAATTAGTTACAGACTCTTTTTTTTTCTCCACAGCATGACTTATATTGATACATTCATTGTGTTAAATGGCATAACTTTGTATTTTTCACTACTTTAAGGAAGAAAAGTTCATACTGTTTTAATCCTTATGGTTCTGACTTAGGTAAGTAGAATAGGAATAAGAATTCTCCCCTTACAGATGAGTATTCTCTTCAGGGTTTCAGTTAATTTTGCACTATGGACTATGTAATTACAGCCTTTCTGCTACCTGGGAGATCACCTGAGTTCCAGTTTAACAAGCCTTATATATAGCATGGGGTTCTTTCACTTTAAATGTTGGGTAATGTTTGTTCTTAAAACAAAGCATCTTCTGAACGGGTTTGTATCCGGGAAAGAAATAATGATAATCAATGCTAGATTTGAAGAATGGCAAAAAATAACAACATAAGATCTAAATTTCTCTAAGAATCAGAATGCTTTCATTTCTTCTGGGGGGGTAGGAGAGGGCATTATAGGCCCTTGAAGTAGCAGAGAGAAATAGAGAAAAGTTTGTGATAAACCTCATATTCTTGTTATTATTTCCTCTTAGAGTCACTTGGCTGCGATAAGGCTTGTGTGCTGCTTCTTCCTCCAAGCTCTATTTAAATTCCTAGTTTAACTATACGTGTCTTCCCTCTTTAACAGTGATTTGACTGTGCCTGTAGCATTATTTTACTATCATAGAAGGATACTTGGAGGTGATAATACTATTCAGTGCAACTTTGCTTTTCGTACTAACCTGTTTCTTTAAAATATTCACTTTCATTTGTAATTCTAATTTGGAAAGACAAATGCCATAATCCATGGATAATTAGGAGTCTAGACTAATTCTGTCATGTCAGTGCTTTCTTAATCTGCCCCTAATCAGATTAAACACCTTAATTCAGACATTATTGACATTGCAGATTGCAGAATTCCAGGGAAGCTGCTACAGTGTATCATGCAGCTGGAGTTGTTGTAAATGGAATTTACTGGCCATTTATAACCTTTAATATCTTGCAAAGAGTATAAAAATGGATTAAGAAATCCAAAAGTTTATTCTAACAGAAGGAAAAATGAAAGTATGCATCTGTTAAGATTTTAACTCTATTGTCTCACTTATCTTTTCAAGAGAGAGGTCACTAAAAGAAAGTAAAGATGAGGGAATTATTTTCTCAAGAACTTTTTGCAGCTAAAAGCTGCACAGTGAGTTTCACTGTATATATTAGTGTATCAACACAAAATCAGTGTGTTAATTAGAGAAACCACAAGCTGTTTATTCTTTATTTCAAAATCAACTGCAATCACAAATATTTTGGTGCAATTGTTGGCAATAGCCAACATGCAGGAAGACTGGTTTAAATCTGGAATTTCTGTTTTGTAGCCAACCCTGACCCACTAACATGGTTTGCACCTATAAAGGACATACTGTGATCTGGATTGATGTGTGTTGCTAATGGGATTTCACTGACTAAACCCACAAATGATACTTCAAGATATATCAGGAAAAGTCTTGTAGTGAAGATGAAGAACTTGTAATTACAAAATTGCATCAGCAATTGTGACCAAGTTTTATTTTTATCTCTGTCTCAAAATATATTTGAATAATTATCATTAGCTTTAAAAGACATTCTCCTTCCATGATTTTGTTAATTCCCTTCTAACTACTTTTTCTCTTGATCAGAACAATATATTTTTAAAGCACTTGATTTGAGAGTGTGTACTTGTGATGGTGCCAGTCAGTTCTGAACAAAAATTAAATTGTGACCTTGACTCTGGAAGGTTATGACTGCTTTGTGCTTAGTCTTTGCTTACAGCATCAGCAGTTGGCACATCACAGGTAGTGCCCATGACTTTTGAGTCTGCTTTGGCAAAAGAGGTCATCACAAAGCATCTGTATTCTCACCCAGAATATCCTGTCAAGAGCTGTATTTAATTTTTAAGTTAAAATAATTCTTGCTCTGATCTTAAAACAAAAGGCCAAATTTATCCTGAGTGAAATGCCTACTAAATTTGTTTTACTGTGGGTAAGTTTATTTCCCTGTGTCAGATTTCAGCCTAAAGCAATTGCTTCTGAAAGTTTATTTTGTGATGTCTTATATGTGTTTGCAGAAATGTTTCTCTCTGTAAATAATGCTCAAAAGCTGTTGTACAACACAGTACAATACCATTAAAATGTTGACTCTGTGAATTTGAAATATCAGTGGACAATTGATGATAGAACAATGGAAGTTATTAATTTATCTTAAAGAATATTATGCTGTTCTTCATGTCTCTCAGACCTACACAAAGTACTGAATCAGATTTTTTCCATTATTAACGCTATAAAATTTAACTGATACCTGCACAAAACGTACTTGTATAACATGCATCAATCACAGATGCTGTGATCTGAGAAATAATAGTGCTCACTTGGCCTGGAGAAAAAGGCTGCCATTTGGTAAGTTGTGTTCTTTTATGTTATTTATGTACTCAGGATGTTTTTACCCTTCAGGTTTTGTTCCTAAGCTGCAAATGGGGGAAGGAATGAAAGGGATGGGAGGAAGAAAATATAGAAATTATTGTGCTCATATCAAATGCTAAGCTAAGAAAATCTCTCAGCTAATTGTTTTTAAGATGGACTAGCTACAGGGTTGCAAACTAATTAGGATATAATTAACACCATTTGACAGGATAGTTGCTACAAAAAATTGCATCTAACCTTCATTGCCGAATGCATTCTGCACTACAGATCAAAATTAACATTTAATTTCAGCCTGCTGACTCCCCTGCCAAAAGCCCAATTCGGTTTCCAGAACTTTGCACATTCTTAATAAAATGAGATTTTTTTAATGCTATAATTTTTCTATTTTTCTTTGTTACACTTGTGTAATTCTCAGAACTGTTTCTCTTTGCTTTGTGTACCAATTACAGTTCTCCTGCTGGTTTAGATGGGGCACAGATAGAGCCCTGGTATAAATCATCCACTGGTTCTTCATGAATGGCTTTTAACTTGCATGTTGTCCATTCTGGTGTTGTGGGGTTTTTTTGGGTTTTTTGGGGGGTTTTTTGGGGTTTTTTTGTGGTTTTTTGTTTGTTTGTTTGTTTGTTTGTTTGTTTTTTTCTTTTCAAGTTGTGCATTCCTCTTATAGTTTATATATAAGGTAATGAAAGTTGTCCCCCATGCACCTAAGGTCTGAGGATCTTACCCTTATTCACTAGAAGCTTAAACCTGGACCAAGCAAGTGCTGCATACGCTTGTGACTGTGGCTGTTAGAGCAGGTGACATCCTCAGCACAGTTGGGATACTGAAAGAAGGTAAGTCAGGAAACCCTTAAAGAAGGCATGAAGCAAGAAGTTTATGATCTTGAGCTAGGAATACTTTCTAGAGTGCTTTCAGGTAGTGCTGTAGTTGAAAATGTGAACCAGGAAAAATAACTTTTTGATTGAAATATGGAAATAATCAAAGGTATTATCCTGGCTCTAACTTTAGTAAAAAGGACAGTGATGTTAAGACTATTAAAGATATATCTTGACCCAGAGAAAGATCCTAAGTTGCCCAGAGAAGCTGTGGATGCCTTGTTGCTGGAAGTGTTCAAGGCCAGGTTGGATGGGACTCTGAGCAGCCTGGTCTAGTGGAAGGTGTCCCTGCCCATGGCAAGGGAGTTGGAACTGAATTATTTTTAAGTCTCTTCTAACATAAACCATTCTATGATTCTGTGGTGTAGAAGATGAGATGAGCCACCTTCAAAAGGGTTAGAATGGCCTCAGTCTCACTCACACCTTGTGAGTTGCTGTGATCATGCCTTGAAACTTGACCATTGTCAGTGGTCTAGAACTGTGGCGTCACTGCCACGTCCAACTCAATTCTGACTCTTCAACCCAAAGATTAGGTAAGCATTAGAATTTGGGTTTGTAGAAATACACCCTAGCAAGATGGCACCTTTAATTGCATAAAATATTAAGATAATTAATGCTTTCAGTTCTTATTTTGAGGCCTTTTTGAGAGAGGCCAAAATAGTGAAGAGACTTTTAAATTAAATGAGAATTAAAAAATCCACTTAAAGAGTATCCAAATTACCGCATCTGTAAAATTATAGTTGCTATGGTAATGTTTGGTTTCCTATTGACTACTTGAGTAAACAGTTTCCCAAATCCTGTTGACAATTGCAGACTGGAAAATAACCATTTTATTCTGCAGTTCTTATTGCATGCATTTAGTAAATATCACCCTTTATTTGTGGTATTAGAAGTGTTATTTTTTAAATCTCTGTTATTCATATTATAAGGAGAGATCAACCAAGAGTCAGAAGTAAAAATGTAATTCGCACTGGGGTGACCTCTTTTTATCCTGTTGAAAACAGAAAGTCATGCAGTGCTTCCAAAATGTCTGTTGCTTGCACCCTGTGCTCAGTCAAAACTATGCACCACATGTCACTGGATATTCTGGGCTTGGATTTTTTGATCTTCCTGGTGATGATGAAGGCCTTTTCCTTACTCTTCTGTCTGATTTCAGTCAGCCCACCTATTATATTCTTTTTGGGTCAAGCTGTTATGGAAGTTGCCATATAACTGTGTTCATGTTTCACCTCTGATGTATTCAGCTTGTCTGCACTCCTTAGACTTCTAGAAAACAGTGACAATTCTTTTCAATTTATTAGAAGGACCTTCCTGACAAGAGCAGTGCATTCCAGAAAAGTTCCTCACTGTTGTGGTGTCTCAGATGTCTCTGTAGAGGAGAGAGGACATTGGAAAATGCCATTATTGTGTCAGTGTTGATCATGTTTCTGCAGCCAAAAGTATTTCAAGTTTTTGAAGGACATTTCTTAAGATCACCTTGTGCCTGATGTTGCTAGTATAGCACCTATAATTTTGTAGATAAGTAAAAAGATTTGAAGTTTATAAAAAAAATGTAGCTGGAATATTAACAGGTGTGAATTATTTTTGCCTTTTTTTTAACAAAATCATGTATTTCTGTTACTGATTAGTGTCATCAGCAAAATGAAGGTCACTCAGAATGGGTTTTTCCCATTTATGATTACTTTCTCTTGATTCCAACAATAAATAATGCGAAGTAGCAGGGCATAAAAAGTCCTTGTTTTACTCTTTAGCTTCCTCTGCTAATTTTTGGATGCTAATCATCCCTTCTGTTCAATCAGTATGATCACAAAGGACTAGGAGCATTTTGATTAAACTGTCCTATCACTTCCTAATATTTTTCTTCACAAAACTATTTCTCAAAAGATGCTTTGGCTAGAAATAACTTCTGTCATAACGATTCTATTTTAAGGTGCAGTTTATAAAGATATTTAATATTTTTCCATTTGGGGGGTTATTTCTTGAGCCGCAAAACTCAAACTTTTTAGTTGTACTGAACAAAAGTGTATAAATTAATAATTCACATTTATGTGTCGTATAGTTGGTAAGAAAAAAATATGGAAACATATAATTATGAGATATTTGTAAAATGAAGAAGAGAGACCTCTACGGTAAGTTGAATTATCACCTTGTTAAGTGAATACTGCTGAAATTTTTCCCCAAAACAAATGCTCATACACATCTATAATATCTGTTCTCCAGTATGCTATCACTGCAGTTGTCAGAGTCACAAAATGTGCACGATGTCTGCAGCAATGTCATATCTCTGGCCTACATGTGGTGCAGTGTTTGACTTTGTTCTCTTCAGGATACCTGTCATCTACAAAGCAGACAGCCTGCAGCTTCCACAATCTGGCCATTTTTAGATCTTGGCAGTGCTCTGAGAGAGCTACTTATTCGCAGGACGTACTTGTCATCATCACCAATTCTTCATTTCTTGTATTTTCAGAGCATCACAGGTAACAACAGAGTGGGGTACCTGATAATCTGAAATAGACCTTAAGATACATTTGTTTGGAGGTTTTTCACACAGCTCCTTTAATATTTGTTTGTATCTGGGAAAAAAGGATTCAACTGGCTTCTATCTCTACTTTCCTCTTCATCTCTGCTAGAGTTCCTCTCTTTAAACCTTAGCATCAATTTTTGCAGCTAGCAGAAAAGATGATACTTTCAAACCCTAAGCGAGTCAAGTCCAATCGAAAAATGCAGGACAATTCTTCAAAGACCAGAATTTACTAATAAGATTCATAGAAGCCAAGGCTGGTGTCATTTGAACTAAATCCTGCAAACATAGAAATACTGGGGTTTTTTGGAAAATATTTTGCAGTTTCACAATTAATTTCTACTGTAAGTCTGGTATGATACTATAAAGTATATATGTCTAATGCATGTATTGTAGTAATACTATAATATCATTATGTGTAAAGTCAAACAGCTCCAATTTTTTTCCCTGTGTGAAAGTCTTCATGATATCATAATGTTACAAAACTACAGGCCAAAATTTAGTTGACTAATCTGGAATTAAAAGGAAAACTATACTTTTCTTTATATAAGGTGTATAAATTTATGTAAGATGTATAATTTTTTTTATAGAAGGTGTATTTTATATACACACATGTATATGTGATGCACAGGAAAAAAAAAATTATTCTAGTTTTCTGAATATGTATTAAAAACCAAGATTTTGACTATGGGTTCAGTAATACAAATAAGAAATCTGCTTAGTGGAATGCTATGCCTAATATCAATGTAGGGTTATTTCCCTGCCAATGGAAAAATGAGTTTCACTAGTACAAGCTTTGCAACAGTTTCACAAGAAGACAGTCAAGGAACTTATTAAAAATGCAGGGTATTTGAAAGGCAGAGCTTTGGCCAAGTGTGCTTATGAAAACAACTTTATACAGAAACTGCACTGAAACTATTCCGACACATCAAATCAGTGATAGATTTTTGTAGAAAGAATTATTCAGATCCCTTTAGGAATTTAAGCATCTAATGATTTTGAGGAACGCCAACTGAGATTTTCAAGGATCTTTAGCAATTTAGATAGTTTGCTCCCTTTTACTTAATCTATTTAGTCAGTTTTGGAAGGAAAAAGAAATAATCTTTTAAAGACTTAACAAAAGAAATCTATATACTTGCTATTAATGACTACACTAATGCAGTATTTTTCTAGAAAAGTTTTTTTCCAGAGTAGGGGTAATCTAAACTGCAACTCATAAAAGATGTACATATACGGTTTAAGGACTTAAACCATATATGCACTTTTGTAATCATGTATATGTTGGATTATTTTAGTAATAAAATATGCAATTTTAAAAAAAGCAATAGAAGAGATCAT